TTTAAAATTAATTTCGACCCTTAATTTGAATAGAGGCGAGAGGGCATTCAATTATTCTAGCGCGCACGTTAATTTCCCAACGTGCCCCTCATTGGTCAATAAATGAACAGAAGCGGTGAATAAACGAGTGAGCAACGTGGAGTTTGGCTGGAGATGGCGGCGGGCGCCTGCGCACACCACCGCCGAGCCCACTAACCTCAAAGAGAAGTGACAGCGGAGTGGTCCGTGGTCCCTGGGCACCCTTCTTGGAGTGAGCGCGAGATAACGGTATAATTAATCACGGAGTCGATAGGATTCGACCGGCCCCCTCCCCCCTCCATTGGGGGTGGGGGACAGGGCGGGTCCCCGCCGGGACGGGCGACTCGACTCCGCTGCCGCGAGCCCGGTGCGTGAGCAGGGGAAGCGGCGGCGGTGGGAAGCGGCGGCGGCAGCGCCGCGTATGGGACTCATGTTTGTGTCACCTGTGCCGCGTGGCAAACGCCTATCTGGAGAGATTATCCGACCTAGCTCCACCAGCGCGCACGGGAGACGGTGCGCGCTGGTGGAGCTAGGTCGGATAATCTCTCTCCAGATAGGAAATGTCTCTAGGTTGGAGATTTCTGCAGTTTGTCTGCACTGGCTACTTAGGTCTATGGGTTCGCATTACGGGAAATATAGCGGTAAAATATATCCATAATACCGGTTGTTTTTGGTTAGATCGCGTAAATATGAATGTGTCGTTAAACCCGCCACCACCCGACACAGCCAGTAAGGTTTGTCACGAAAACAGAACGTGCCAATTCGTTACTAGTACAGCACACCGGTGTTTTGGAGAGCAAATGCACAACATTTACAATCTGAGTACGACGTTTCGCCAGTAATTACAACCGACATCATCAGGTCGGCAGCCAGATCTATAGAGAAATCCTCCTGTGTGGATGATGTATTATTAGACGTCATATTTCGGTTATTTGCTCTTAATATTTCATTTCCTGAGATGGTTGTTTGAGAAGAAAGATATCTGCCCTTTTTCTTCTTGAAAATGAGAATGTTTAATTTGAAAATGTTAGAATTAACAAACATATAACCTATGACTTTTTGTCCATGATTCTAGATGCCACATCTGCCCACAGTTGCTTATATGGTGCCACTGAATGGTCTCCGTTCATCTGTTACACTTGTTATTATTTGATAAATGTAACCTGTTTTTTTTTTCGTAAATGCCACTTCTGAATAAATTGGTGGGTCTAGCGTTTTAGGGGTTTTGCAATTAGTATGCTTCAGTACTTACGGTGGCAGTCTTCTGGCAGATTGTAAACTGTTAAACTCAACCCTTAATCAAGGAAATTCAATGCTATGGTGTTAGGGCCTTCACTGAACGTCGGCTCTGTTTGCAATTGTGGTCACTTTCTTTTTTCTTTCTGTGATTTCAAATCTGCTTCGCCGCCATGTTTATTTTGTGGAACTCAAAACAGCCTGCCATGGGCCATCCACACCACTGAGAGTGATGTGGGGGGGGGGTCATCTTACGTTTACAGCTCGAAGCCAGTGGTGGAAATTCAACATTCCTATGGTGGGAACGTGTCTTCCTTTAGACCAGCCACCATTGCCTTGTGCACACAGTCAAGCTCATCAACTGATTTGTGAATTATTTACATTTAAACCGAAATTCGCAATTCAGTCGGTCGCCCAGCCCAAGGATTGCCCAAAGGTTAGAGTTGAACTCCCTTTGCCGAGTTGCAAAGCAGTCCTTGGTGGTTATATTGCAGCCGGGGGGGGCGGGGGTTGTGGGGGGGGGCGTTGATGGAGATGATGAGCCTTGATGGAACTGGTTATGGGGCACGTACCACACCTCCTCCAACCCCGGGCCCAGTTCGCCCTAGGCCTCGGACCTCGTGTAATTACTACTTCCCAGAGCACAAGCGTGCTCTGTGCTGCCACACGCACAGACAAGGGCCCCTTGTTTAGACGCTTAGACACACACGGCAAGTGTGGTTAGCGAGCACTTATTAAGACTCACGTAGTACGTGATGGGGCAGCATAGCTCCTATCACCATCACTCACATCAGTAAGGCCTAGCATATTTTTTTGTATACTTGTTGACCCAGTAAAGCCTCACCGAGTCTCCTCTTGACACTTCAGGAGGGTCCTGCCAAGCGTTTCTCTAATCTGGGGCAATTACAGCTATATGTAATCCCAGTTTACTAATTTGTGTGGATTATATTTCAAATTTGTCGATTTTTGGGCCATGATGCCCACGCGCAAATGTCCACTGTGACGACGCGTAGAATGTTTACAATGAATACACCCGTAGTAATAATCGGGGCCGCTGGTGGATTTGAACCGTGACCCTCTGCAACAAGTGAACGCTCTACCTTCCGATATTGGGAAGCCACTGGAGTTATGTGCTTTTAAATCTAGATTGAAAACGAATTTCCTTGGAACTGCGTTTTGTGTTTAGTTTTTTGTTCTTCCCCGACATCTCCGATTAGCACGGTTGGCTACATACGGTGCGAAAGAAGTTCTGCATACATACATACATCACATGAACACCCCCCCCCCCATACCAGGGACTCATTTTTAATTGACCTCTGGGAAGACATCTACCGTGGAGGTAGAGCGATCACATCAACTCGTATGCCAGAGTTAGATAGATTGTTGCATCGCGGCATACAGAGTGGATAATGTGCTCAGCACTATATCCGATGTTTACACGTTTACACATCACACCAGTTACCCATTTGAAGATGTCCCAGGACCGGTTCAAGTATCGCTCATCACCGATGTTCGCCATGGCCAGGTTCCAGTGTATCCTCGTATACAAAGACAAAGATGCCCCTTGTCGCCTGCACAGGCTGTTGAAGCAAGTGCTGCGAGCGAGCACCTTTGAAGGCCTGAATGGCGCGCAAGGGGGTAGTGCGGGCCGCAACACACGTGCGCCAACACGCACAAGCCCTTGTCTTTTGCGGCTGTTACTTATTACCGTTCCAAAAGGCAGAACCTGCCCTGGGGGAGGTATGTCACCAGTGGCACAGGCAGTACCGCCCGGGCAGAATGAGATGCAAATGGGATAAGTGTGGCCCTAGCACTTGGGCCTCCTATTACGCCTTTGTCTCTCGTGTGTCCCCTAAGTGGCAGCCATTAACCTGGTGCCCAAGGGTTTCTGGGGGCTGAGGGAGAGAGGTGGGTGGCTGTGGGCTGATGGAGGAATGGCCTGGCCAGGGTAACGTGGGCTGTAATTGTGGTCCCTTTGATCTGTAGAGCACTGCCATAGGAATGTGTTTTTTTATGTTACTTTATTATATCTCAATTAGGGATAATATACGGGGGGGGGGCGGGGGGGGGGGCTTGACAAACTGCGCACGCAGCGGCTCTGGTATTGATAATTACATTAAAGAATGGGAATAAACGTGACACTTCCACTCGATTTTGTAAGTGGGGCATTTGAATCTTTAAACGTTTTACCAGTTGTTACCTTTCTTCGGGATGAAAACTGCTCGGTCAGTTGAAGCGTTTGACGCGTTTTTTTGTCATGCCCCCCGACGAGCTGAGATTTTGATTCTCGGCAGCGGCTAACGTCAGTGGGTGGGTGACGCCTGAACCTGTTCTGCCCCCCCACCCCACCGTTTTACTTCACAAACCCCCACTGAGCAGTGTGGTGAAATACGATCAAGCAATCACCACGGACTACATGGTGTGGTGAGGCCTTCATCCACAGTGGATTTTGACTAATGGCTGCAAGTTAAGATATATAGTTTTAATATAATTATTTTCGTGAGTAATGTCAACATTTTATGCTTCTGCTGTTGCACTGCTTTGCGTATAATGCTATTTGACCAAGGGCACACACAACAAAACTATGAAGTTGCATCTTAACTGTAGGTTCTGGGTGAAGCATATATTATATATCGGCTTTTTAGACAAATATATAGTGATATTTTATAATAAAAAAAATAAACAAAGGTTTGTTTTACTTGCTGACCCAATACTGCTCAATCCATATCCAGAAATCCATGAGCCGCTCTGCAGTTTTGAGACATGAACACACCTCGCTCTAATTAGGGCTCATCAGCAAGTCATCTCCAGCCCCTGACTGCTGGGAAGAGCTGAAATTGATATATGGGCAAGGGACACACAGATAAATCGCAGTGCCTGTGAAAGTAGCAGCAGCACACAGAACAGCAATAAATTATGTTAACGCTACACCTCACTGAAGCATCATTAACATAATATACTTTTTAAAAAACCAGCCCACCAACACAAATTGTATTTCATGCTCACACCGATCACTTTTAATGACCTTTCTGCACGATAGTCCTTCGCCAACTCTGAAGTGCGGCGACCGCCTCCTGTAACGTAATCTTGTCATCGTTTCTTCCCTGCGCGTGTCTCGTGAGAAAATGAAAAGTTGAACGAAGCACGCAGCGAATATACTATCCCGCCATCATTCCGGCGTTATAAGCGCCGGGCAGAAGATGCCATCTCGGCTTAGAGGCCTCACCCCTCGCCCACCTCCGCCCGCAGAAACACTAAGCCGCCGAGATGTGCGCATCCTTCGACAAAGTGTCCCTCCGAATGAAGGATCACCCAAACCTTTGTTCAGGGGATCGCCTTTAATTAGTTCTCATTTGTGGGAGTATTGATCACACGGGGTCATTGCCTCCACCCTGCATGGGTCGCCTTTGACACCATGAGTAATTGGCTGTGTCTCCACGTATGTACGCGCATCCACGTGTGTGCGTACGTAGGTTAGGTACGCACGCACATACGTACGTATGCTCATGACGAAGGCTATTCGTTTCGACGCTGGTATTACTGTGCTGGCTGGGCCAGTCATGTGAAAATCGTGGTTACAGGATGATTTTTAACATGAACTTTTGGTGTGACTTTTACGACAATCACTAATGGCTTTGCTCGCACAAGGAGCGAAATGAAAGTGATCGTGATGGTTGGAATACCGGCCGGTGGCTGTGTTGTGCATGCGTTTTAGACTTGTTGTGTATGTGGTCGTCTCTGGCCAGGGTTTCCTGATGAAGAGGAGCAGCAGTTCTCTCAATAAGGAGTGGAAGAAAAAATATGTGACACTCTGCGACAGTGGCACCCTCACCTACCACCCCAGCCTGCAGGTAAGCCACAGGGCCTCGCCAATCTCATGCATTTGCCGATAACGAAATCACCTTACATGCTCCACATCTTGTTGTCTTGAAAGCTTCAGCCTGGTTAGTACCAGAGGTTGCCAGGTGTTGTAAGTGTGGGCCTGTGAGGTGTGACCAGGAGATGGCGGTGCTGCGTGCCAACCCCTCCTATGTGTGGTCGGTTTTCTCCTGGTTCTCTGTTTTTTTTCCCCGATATGAAGCCAAATTCTCAACAATGGAATTGGCCAAACACCCCAATGCAGGACCCTCCTGAAAAATAGTTTTCAAGACTCAGTGAGGCTTTCCCGGGATAACTAACTGTTATTATTAGGATTATAATCCACACCTGTATATACAAATTAACACGAAGAAGTTTGTTTTATTTATGACAGGGTCCCACATTTAACCTATCAACATAGTGCCAGATTCCATTCATGTTTTCCAACAAAACACTTTTTTAAATGAAACGAGGCAGCCTCTTTCATCTGCAAATGAATCTCGTTGCCAACTCATGATCTCACAGCGATGCCGCTGAGACCACAGCATGAGCAAGACCACCCTTAAACGACCATGGGGAGATGTTTGCGTTCCCAGCTGAGCTAGTCGACTGCCGCATGGTCAGCATGATCCTTAGGTGCAAGGAATTAAATTAGGCCGCCCCTGTTCAATTCCCCCCCCACCCAGCACCTGGGCCCCTCCGGCCCATGCGCCCCTATTGCAGTTGCACCGCCTGCACACTCGCTAGCTACTCCAGTGGGTTTAGGAGCACCGTTTGTAAGTTTGTCGATTTGAGCGCCGTGCGTGGGCTGCGTTGTTTGCAGTAGGGGGATTGTGGCTGCGGCAGCAGTGAGGGAGAGCGAGAGAGCGGCGCGTGCCCTTGCGCGGTGCCGCGCTGGGAAGCGCCGCGAAGAGTGAGACAGCGCCGCTAAGCTCGTTAGGCTGGCTGGCGGCACGGGGAGGGTGCGGGCGGAGAGGCGGGAGCACGTGGAGGCGGGGTGGGGGGAGCGGGTTCGCCAGGGGAGGGAAGGAGGTTGGTGGTGGTGGTGGGGGGCGTTCGAGGCGGGAGACAAGAGAGGGGGGGGGGGTGAACGCGCTCCGCACTTGATCCAGCCTGAGGAGCAGACGCCCGCCACCTCCCTTCCTCCCCGCGCTAATTAGTGCAGCGGCGGCAATTAACATGTTTGTCGAAGCTAATTGAATGTAACTCGGTCACACGCGTTAATGGCTGCGCGGCTGGCAAAATTCATATTCATCCGCCTAATGAGATGGATGGCAGCTCCACACAACTCAATTAGGGCGCAGCGTGTGCGCCCGTGTGTCCGCGGTCGTGGCTGGCGTGTGCGACGCACGCGTTTATATTTCACAAATTATTTTTGCTTATTTATCATTAGCGGCGGCGGTATTCGAATTATGGCTTTTTTGGGTTTTTTTTTCTCTTTCTCGCGTGGCACGGTTAAGGTTCGTGCTGCCGCACACGAGGAATGTCCGGGTCAAGGAGCTCGCCGCTAATTGACACGGGGGTACTGATTGGTTTTTTTTGTGTTGGGCTGGTTGGGAGTGCGGGAGAGGGGGTGGTTTTCTAGTTTTTCGGGCTATCGAGAGAGTCCCAGAGCACGGGTTTAAAATCTGGAAAGCAAGGCCAGGCCGCCGCTGAAGTGGCATTTTATTTGCAAATGAGTCACAAGAGACCCGGCAGTGTTTGTTTGAAAATGCTCAAAGGCGTAATGGCGAGGCTAGGCTGCCCCCACCACCTGGTGCTTTAGCTCCAGTAAACGCCGGCTGTCTCCACAGTCACTAATCCCCGCTAATGACTCGCTCAATAACAAAAACAATAGCAGTGCTGCACGCTGGGTCAAGTACGGTAAATTCATAACTAATTGGGCCCCGTGATCTCCCCGTGAAATAGATAAAAAGCACGTAAAGTTGCATGCCGTACGCGGACACTTGTTATTTTTTGTTATAAATGAATGTTGGATACATTTGATGTGAATTTGTATTTATCGCTGCATTATAAATTATTGTAAATCAGCCCTTGGCCTTTCCACACTGTCAACCTGCACTGATCAGAGTGGTGAAGTATGGTCTTTTATATCAACACAGTGTTGGAGTTGAATTGATAAAAGGGCTGTACATTGTTATTTGAACGTACTATTCCAAAGGCACCTAAAGCAGTCGAAATTAAGTTAACATTGAAACAAAAGCAAAATGCAATTCACTATGGTCGTGTCACTAACCTTGTCAAGAGGTCACGGTGGCTGAGAGTTTCTCATTTAAAACGGCATCATTCACACGGGGATGAGCACCTCTGACTTTGTGACCAAACCTTGCGTGCCAGGCATTCAACAAGCCGGCACCGATTTAAATCAATGGATGCTGAGAAAACCCATCGCAAACAGAACGGAGCATGCCGGCTGGCAACAAATACATTCGATAACACTGCAGGAATTCATATTCTTTGGGTCTTTCGGTAAAGCCACGTAGATAGAAAAAGAATAAAATAATAACAATATAACGACGTTTCGATCGCAACACAAGCAATCGTCATCAGGTGAAAAATATAGATGGAGAGCTGCTGAGGCAGGAAAAATATATGGCGGGAGCGCTGCTAAGGCAGGGAGTTATTAAGGTTTGAGATGGGTGTAGTCCAAGGGTCAGTGGGTGGGGCTAGAGATGAAATTTGCATGTAAATGTAAGATCGGAGAAATCTTGACAAACGAAGCTGTGGGGGTGGCCATTGTTTTGTGAGAGATTAGCATGTCAATGTAAGAGATTTGTTTGTAAATGTAAGATCGGAGAGAGCTCGGAAATATATATGTTGTTAAAGCCAGTGCTGGTGATACAGGGGAACCATGCACGTATAGGACAGGACTCGGGTAACCCAACGGCACATGGGCCAGATACGGCCGCAACTTTGTTTCATACGGCCCATGGCCACATGAGGCCTACCACTTTGAAAAGGCCGACAAGCGGTATTTAACCATTGCCACGAGCATCTTCGCTGCACCGGTGGGGAATCTTAACGCAGACGTTGCTCGTGACAAAGAAAAGCAGATGCAGGAATCGTTTTTTTTATTGGTGTTAAGGTTAGCCCTAACTCTTTTTGCGATATTAGATAACGCTAAGGTGTGCGCGTTAATGTGTTGCTGGTCAATGGTATTTGAAAACCCCCATTTGGCCCCTTGGTAAATAAGAGGTGAGAGTTTGTAATCATGGAGATGAAGTCATCAAATCAGATTGTGTGCAGCCGCATGATTGATCATCATATCACAGGATCGTGAGATATGGTGGTGGCTTGGGGAGACCTTCATCCAGAAGTGGATTGACCATGGCTCACGACGACGATGATTGATGAAAAAAAATTCCCACCCCTGATGTAGGAGGGAGATACTGAATCTAGGCAGTAGAACAGCACAACGTGTTTCTCCTTGCTCCACTTGAGCCACGAAAAGAGACCCATTTAGAGCGCCGTTTTGTTTAACCCCAGTGCCAGGCAGGACTTATTAAATACCGATTCATTATGTGCAGCACTGGGTTTCAAGAGCGGCAAAGTGATTTTTCGGAGTTGGTGGAACTAACCAATCACAGGTACTTACTCTCCCGATGCGCGTCCTCCGTGAACTCCTCGGGCTGTGCATTTGAGAGGCGTTCGTAGGCGTTGAACACGACGACGCAGAGCCATCGTTATCGTTAGCACGGCCGCCGGTACCAAAATTCGGCCACAAAGACAACAGTTCTGTGTTGAAGAGTGAATGAATGATGATGTCATCTTGGCACGCAAAACACGGTGGGAATTCCTGTTATGTATTTGCCGTGGAAGATACCTCCTGAGTGGTTGTATTTATCATCAAGTCCGTACTGTGATGAACAACATTCACTGTGCCTACTAATTTAAAAATACTTTTCTCTTGTGGTGCGGCATAAAAGGGGCACCTCACCGTTGGGTTTTTCCTCAGGTTGACACGGTCTATTGATGTTGATTTTAGAACTCTTCTCTTCTGGGTTTCCTGTTGACGTTGTCGACGCTACCGCTTAAAAAATAAGCCCACGCAAGGATCAGTGATCGTAACGATGTGTCAGCGCTCCCAATACAAGGGTCTCAGGGGGTTGGGGGGTTTCTTGAGGGATGGCTGAGCAAGCTCGGACAAGTGGCAAAGCAAATCTTAGATCTATCCAGAAAAGGGGCAGCAATGCAAACGTGAGCAGACAAGAAGATGAGGGATTAGGTTGACTTCTAGTTTTTCACACAAACACACACAAAAACCCAGTAGTTATCGTAAATATGATCTTTGTAGGTATTTTAAATGTTTTCATATGTTTTGTATTCTCTATGTCATCCAATATCAGTGCCCTCATCATAAAACATTTTCTTCCCTGAAGTGCCTTCAAATGGCACTCCTCAGTAAGCTGCCGAGGGAGCAGTGAGACCAGCAATCGCAAAACGCCACGCGGTTTAAGGCGAGTGAAACGCTCCGTCCCCGTCTTGCCTCGCGGAAATGAGGACGCCCTTACGCTTCCATTTAACGATGGCCGGTCGGTGCACGTGACAGGACTACATGCAGAACGTGCACGGCAAGGCCATCGACCTCCTGCGGACGACGGTGAAGGTTCCGGGCAAGCGGCCGCCCCGCGCTTCCTCCTCCAGCATGAGCAGCCTGGGGGGCGTCGGCGGCGGCGTCGGCGGCGGCGGCGGCGTCGTCTCCTCGCCGTTCGCGCAGCAGTCGGCGCAGGCCGGCGCGCACGCTTGGCACGCCGCCCGCCCTCACACCGCCTCCGGTGCGCAGCCCAACGGCGCGCCGGGGGGCGCGCGGGCGCCCCCCGGCGCGCCCGCGCCGCTGTCCTCCAACGCCTTTTCCGCGTGCCCCTCGTCCCTGCCGTCGACGTCCATCCTGCAGCAGCTGCTGGGCTCGAGCGCGGGCCACCGCGTGTCGCCCGCCGGCGTGCAGGCCGCGTTCGGGGCCTGCTCGTCGACGCCCTCGTCGCCCGTGTCGATCGGCGCGGCGGGAGCCCCCGCGCCGCCCTCCTGCTACTTCCCGGCGCCGTGCCAGCCAGGCGGAGGCGGCAGCAACGGCGTGCACTCGCGTAGCGCCAGCAGCAACTCGTGCTGCGCGAGCGGCGGCGCTGGCTTCGGCGCCGCGGACCTCGGCCGGGAGCTTGGCGGCGTGCACATCTCTGGCAATGGAGGTTAGTGTCCGTCCGTCCGTCCGTCTTGTCTCCGTGCCACCGCGGTTGTTGTCGTCAGCATTGTTAATTCGCGAAATGTTGCACGCCAGCTGTGCGAGCGCGTGAGAGGCACGGAGCACCCTTTGGACCGCTCTGCTGCAGGCCGTGTTAAAAAAACGAGTGAGCGCATAACAAAGCATCAATTAAGTCGATTCTGGTTTTTTTTTCTCTCCCCGGATCGTGACAGTTCAGCAAATAACCAGAGGGGTGAATCATCACATGCCTAAAAAACAACGAGGAAGTAATTTTGTCAACGTTTTCCTACCATCCTTCAAATGTCTGTCTCACCATAACTTTAATGGGCATGTGGCCAGTCGTGCGTCTGTCGCCGAGTTAGGTGGCCTGTATTTGGCGGCGATTACAGCTGAGGAATGCGTGATGGCCACGTAAATTCCACTTGCGCGACAGCGACGTTGCGGTCTGTCTCGTTTCGGCAGGGGCGTGCTCCTCGTAAGGACACGCTGTCGGCTGCGCAGTAACTTAACAACAAGAAACAGGTTCACCCGAGCCTCAAATTACAACCCTCAGCCGACAGTCACTCTCGCTGCGTAACGAGTGGCTCAGGTTAGGCGGGACATGGGAAGCGCATCCTGAAAACGAATTTTTTTTTGTCCTAAATTGACAGGTTATTTTTTTTTTGTAGAACTACTGAGCTTGCGCCGTTGTCATCGGCGCACATCGCCGCGTGACGAATGCGTTTCAGACAGCCGTGCGCTGAGAAGGTGCCTTTGCGGCCGTGGCGCCGGATTTGACGTGGCACTAGCGTGTGCCCGTGTTCGTTCACCCGTGCGCGCGTGCAAGCACGGCGCTGAGGCAATCCACCGCACCGGCGCAATCAGTCACTGTCCTACCGCGCGTGAGGGATGCCTCCCGTGCCACACAGCGATGTTCATTTGCCACTGATCGCACGCGCCTCGTTTGGGGACGTTCGGCTCCGTAACACAGGGGCGGGGTTAGCAGGAGGAGGAGGTGGAACAGTTGTGGTGGTACGGCAGGAGCAAGGAGGGAGAGGACGGCAAGGGCAAGGCTTAGCGAACAAAAATAATAATAAATAATCAAGATACATTCATAATCTTACAAAAAAATGCAGACAAGACAGAGTGCGGGATGAGAAGTGGGAAGGGGGCGGGGTATCGTACGGAGGCTCGTTTACCCCTGAGAAAGGTGCATAATGTGGAGTGATTGCGGCCTCAATCATGATAAATGGCTGCTCCCTTTAATAGCAGGGTAATGATAGGTGGCGGGGCCACGTGGGCGTGGGGTATTAACTACGGCCTCCTTCCCTGGACGGGGAACCGGAGCTTGTTTTCTCCCCCCACCGCCGAGGTGTGGGCTCGCGCTTCTGCCCCACGTTTCCACGTGGAAGTTGAGGCCAGGAGGGTTCGTGGGGTGGTCCTTCGGTGGGAGGCCACGCGACTTGCAAGTGCAATTTCGCGTCGTGGTTTTGGCGGCGCTGGAGTGTTTAACTCGTTCCCGTTTGAAGAGGGGCAGTGCGCACTTTCTTTTGGTCGCGTGAAAACTTTTTTGCAACTTCAATCTGTGAGCTGGCGGAGATGACGGAGGAGGTATTTTTCGCAGGATTTGGAAATGCAGGTCACATTAATGAAAGTAAACTTTCCATTTTGTAACATTACTAGACTGTGTATAGGGTAAGCGTGCATACATGTTTGTGCCTTCTGTACGTACACGCATACAAAGTGTCTGTGTGTGTGTATGTCTGTGGGTATGATGCGGTGGAGTAGCGGTTAGCACGCTGCACTACGAACCCGGCGTCCCGAGTTTGATTCCTGCTCAAGGTCAACACCAGTGACAAATATCTGAACCGGTCTTGGGCCTCCCCTAGGTCGCCTCAGCCTCTAACGAGTTCCTGGTGCGGTGTGTAAACATCCGCACTATGGAGACAAAGGCAGCCGGGCGTGGTGCTGGCCACCCACCGCCTCGTGTGCCGTGCCAGCCTTCATAGGTGCTCGCTAACGGCACTTGCTCCAACAATCTGTTAAGGCTATAGAGGGTAACCTTGTTGGTATGATGTATACCTGTCATCCATAAGCCAACATTTGTGTTTTAGCAGCATGACAGAAATCGCGATTGAAAAAATTCAAACAAAAATGTAATGTAATATCTGTCTACTGAAACAGATAACTCTTCTTTGGTTATTTCGGTAAAGTCACGTAGAATGAGAATAAAATAATAAAATAACACAATAAAATTCTCACGACGTTTCGACCACAATGCAAGCGGCCGTCTTCAGGTGAAAGGTACAGACCTGTCGGGATGACAGAGCTTCAATGAACGGTGTAAAGATTCGTAGCGACTTTTAAGCTGGTTGGGAGAAGTGAGGCACCTTGACAAAGGGGTTTACATATCAAATAGCTGAGGGATTAGCTTGTGACTGGTCACAGGAATGGCTATGTTAAAGTCAAAACCTACACATCCACAGAGGCTACGAGTAATTTAGCATTGAAATAGCTAAGGGATTAGCTTGTGAAAATAGCTGAGGGATTAGCTTGTGACTGGTCACGGAAATGGCTATGTTAAAGTCAAAACCTACACATCCACAGAGGTAACTAGTAATTTAGCATTAAAATAGATAAGGGATTAGCTTGTGACTGGTCACAGAAATAGATGTTAAAGTAAAGGCCTACACATCTATTTCTGTGACCAGTCACAAGCTAATCCCTTATCTATTTCAATGCTAAATTACTAGTTACCTCTGTGGATGTGTTGGTTTTGACTTTAACATAGCCATTCCTGTGACCAGTCACAAGCTAATCCCTCAGCTATTTGATATGTAAACCCCTTTGTCAAGGCGCCTCACTTCTCCCAACCAGCTTAAAAGTCGCTACGAATCTTAACATCGTTCATTGAAGCTCTGTCATCCCGACAGTTCTGTACCTTTTACCTGAAGACGGCCGCTTGCGTTGTGGCCGAAACGTCGTGAGAATTTTATTGTGTTATTTTATTCTCATTCTACGTGACTTTACCGAAAGAACCAAAGAAGATGAATCCTTGCAGTCACGAAAGCTTTAAATCGACAGATAACTCTGTTACCAACATTCCTACACTTGTACATATTTGAATCCTGAGCGCTCCAACAATATAAAACCAAAGAACTGCAATTACCGTATAAACATTTAATCACATACACTTGACGCAGTGCATGTGGTTGCCTGCATTTATCAGCTTCTAATATAGCAACAGCAGCCGTAATATCGGAGTGAACTTCACACTCTGGTCTCGATGGCCAGCCGCAGCATTTAGCACGGCTCGCATGCCTCCGCTGTTTACCGAGCGCCTGTGTGTGGCGGGGATCAAAGGGGAGGGCGAGCGTGGCTCACGGCCGGTGGAGTCCTCTCCTAATCCACCCCCCCAGCTTGCCCTTGTCCTTAGTAAGCTCACGTCCCGTCTCACTTGTACCGTGCAGATCCCGAGACTTGTGGAGAGATCTCAGAGTACAAAACCGTGCCTGTTGTGCCCAGGCATCTAGCTCGGTGGGTGCGAGTGTTGTTGAGGTGAGGGATGTGTGTGTGTGGGGGGGTGTGTAGGGGTGTGGGTGGGGGGCTGTGGGTTGAGGGAGGCTGGGGTGGGTGATGGGTGGGGGGAAGGTTAGACCGGGCAGTTAATTCACTGTGTCCTCCATCGTCTCCCTGAGCATGCGCTGCCACCAAATTTAAATAATAAAATAAATGTTCCCTGTAATTGAATGCTTGAATATTTATAGTTACTGAATGCTAATGCCGCCAATGAATATTAACCCTTTCGCCGTGCCCGCGTGGAGGCGGACGTGCCAGCGCGCCGTCGACTCTCTACCCGACGATGGCCGCGCTTTGTGTGCCAGCACGTTTTTATTTTCTGCAACGCGCAAAGCAAAAAAAATAGCCGTGCCCCCCCCCCAGACACGGTTGTCGCCAGTTCCGACAGCGTTTACAGGCGGCTGCCCCCCGGAGTTTTCCTCGGCTCGGCAGCAACAACCGGTCACTTTGAAGTGATGTGGGCGCGAAGGGATTACCGGCGGCAGCCTCGGCACGATCGCGCACGCTGGAAGGCTGCCGCCGTTGGGTTTTGGAGTAGCTGGTTGTCGGGTGTTCGGGGAGGTGGAAGAGAAAGGGTTTTGGTGGTGTCACGGGTGGGGAGGAGGGACGAGAGAGGCGGGTAGTTTGTGGGGGGGGGGGGGTAGTGGGGGGTAGCGCTCGCATCGGTGCTAGCTATCAGCAGCACTGCTCGGAGTGATGAGATGGCGAGATAATTGGTACGGGCGGCATGCGTTCCATCACGGCAACACTCCAGTGGAAAGGCATTTAACACGCTAATGTGTCTCCGATTCCTCTTTTATTACCGCCGCCCTGGATGGGCCGAGGCTGGTGGGGGGGGGGGAAGAGAAAATGAGAGAGGGGCAGAGAGGAAGGCAGAAGAGAAGTGAATTAATGAAGCCTGGAAATAGATTTGTGTGCATTGAGTTGAGCGAGCTTCGAGAAAATAAGGGGAAAAGGGGAAAGGACAGACAAAGATACAGCGTGGACAAACAGAGCGCAGGTCAGCGCACATTTAGCAGCTTCCTGTTAGAAAACTGCAATTTGTGGCGGGTATAAGTGGGGGTTGTATTTTGATGTCTTGAGCTGGCATTTGGCTGATTGGTTTCGTTATGGATTGCTCACGTTGCTCATGGAGAATGATCGTGTGATGTTGATTAGAGTGGGGGGTTTTTTCCATCTTAGTTTGTGTGCACATTTCAAGAGTCCTGGTGAGTCACCTTACAAATTCCACATCAGTGCTGACTTTCATGCTGCATCTAATAGCGTGGCACAAACAGCAACTGAACTGAAAGCCGTGTTAAGGTTTTGATAATTTATTGAGAAACGGGGGGGGGGGGGGGGGGGCGGAAAAACAACAGCGTGATTAGTTGCTAATTGACGTGGACTGGCATTTTTGATCGAAAATGGAGCTTGGAGGTCGACAGTAAT